ATAATCCAATTTCTAGGCCGAGCCAAAAATAATAGTAACCACAAAACAGAGCCTGGACTTAGTGCAGAGCTCATTTTCATTGGCAAGTCTGCTTTCCCCTAAGAGGCCCAAGTATTCATTCATCTTGACTCTTCTAATGAGTGTACCTAATAATTCCAATTTTTAATGGATTTGGAAGTGATCTTAGATAGAATAAGATATTTGAAAATATCCAAATGTTTGGGCATTTTATGAATAAAATGCTTAGATTTAAGTTTCTCTGGAGAAAAACCACCAACAGGATATATAAAAATGGATGGAAGGATGGATACATTGAGAAGTCCCACATCCACCATCTGCAAGCTGGAAATCTAGGAAAGCCAGGGAGTGGTATAACTCAATCCAGGTCCAAAGAGGTATGAATCAGAAGAGCCAGTCATGGAGGCCAGAGGAAATAGGATGAGTTGTCCCAGACAACACAGGAAACCAAAGAAGCACATTGTTCCTTCCCACTTTTTTTTTTTTTCTGTTCAGACCCTCCACAGTGTAGATGATGTCCCTATCTGGGAAGGACAATGTTCTTTATTGAGTCTGTAAATCTACGTGCTAATTCCTCAGAAACACACTCACAGACTTGGGTGCCCCATAACCATAACACTGACATGAAGTCAATTCTTATACTACAAGGAAAAGATGGTTTTGCTAGATATCCTGATATTTAACTATTATTTGAAACATAGCTATGGGTTCCAAAAAAACCTAATATTTGATACAATCCTAAGGATTCTTTTTTGTAACATAAATTTCTTTGAAATTGTAAGGCAGTGTCATAGTTGTAATAAGCATTGGCTCTGTCTGTGTTCAATGTGAATCCATTACTTGAGTGACCAAGAACAAGCGGATTAGTTATATAATGAGGAGTTAAAAAATATATGCTGGAATTTAGAAGAATAAAAGCATAAACCTTCATCATCTCACACTGTGCGTCAGGAATTCAGAAATGACTTAGCTAGCTAGCCTGACTCAGGGTGGCTCGTGAGGATGCACTCAATACATTGGATGCTCCTGTAGTCACCTGAAGATTTGATGAGGCCCAGAAGAGCCTCCCATTTATATTATTGGGAAATCAGAGCCAGTGATGTACGTAAGGCCTCTGTTCTCTGCTCTGTGCAGGCTTTTCCAAGAGGGCACTGAGTGTGCTCCTGACATGCTGGCTCACCCTCCTAGAGGGAGGGGAGAACCAAGAGGAATCTGTGACACCTTCAAGGAGATAGTCCCAGGCCTCTCACATCCCTATGGTCACATTCATTTGCTTTTTCATCCCTAGAAACAGAACACTGAGTCTATAAAAGATCAATGGCAAGGGAAATTACCTTTCTCTTTTTGAAAGGAAGAGCATCAAAAATGTGTGGGTGTAAAGGAAACTGACCTTGCAAGCTAATACATTTACACGTGTCTTAGCAAGTCCTGCTGGCTACTTAACACTGTATTCGCAGAACTGTATCTATGAACTGTACTGAATCTGCTAACTTTCTAAAAAATCAAATATAAAAATAAAACATATAGTCTCTAACCCATTTGCCTAAATGCTGAGACATCCCAGGCCCAGGCCATCACTATTCTCACCACTGCTTCCTTTCTTGGCTCCTGCATCCTACGCTATTCTGTACTAAGCCTCCAGAGTGACCTTTTCAAAACACAGCTATGGGGGGGACCGTGCGGCACAAAGGTGAAGCCATTGCTTAGAACACATACGACCCATGTTGAAATGTCTGGGTTCAAGCGTCATGTCTGCTTCCAATCCAGCTTCCTGCTAAAAGCACGCCATGTAGTGCAGTAGGTGATGTCTGGAGTATTTGGGTCACCCATGTGGCACACCCAAGCTGAATTGTGGGTTCCTGGCTCTTCTAGGCATTTAGGTGAATAAACCAGTAGATAGAAAATATCTCTTCCCTGTGTCTTTATAGTTCAGCCTTTCAAATATACAAACAGAATCATACCATTTCCCTGTTCAAAACCTCGTGATGGATTCCCTCAAAAAAATTCAAATGCTCCTCCTCTCTTTAACTTTATCACCATGTGTTTAGCCTGGATTACCGCACCCCAGCTTTTTTAACCTCTTTGTTGTTACTCCAAGCTCCCCACCAGCCTTGCTCAGGCTTCACACTCTGCATTCTCTTTCCCCTGCCTAGAAGATTCTTCATGCGTCTCACTCTTACTTCAAAAGTTCCTGCTCACATGTCTTTTCTAGGTGATCTTCTTGAGAAATCTATTAAGGAAGCATCTGCATTCTTCTCATTACATCCTTAAGGGACTGTGAAAAAAATTCACAGAAAATATATACTGTGAAAAAAAAACTACAAATGGATTTCAAAATATTTTACCCCAATAAGCTTACTTTTTGATTACATTTTTCTATGAATTTTTTTCAAGTAACCCCGTAAGAAGACAATCTGTGCATTATAGTCTATTGATTATTTGTCTTTTCTTTGTCAACCTCTTTCACTAGACTGAAAGCTCCATGGTAGCAGGAAGCTTGTGTTGTTCATTTATATTTGCTTTACTTTCAGGGCGCTGTAGTCAGTGCTCAATAGGTACCTGTTACATAAATGAATGAACAGAGCTATGAGTCCGTTGATTAACCCGAAATCACAAGAAGGAAGCCAGTCTGTCCCACCCATACATTTTGATAATATATTATCTGACAGTCTTCTCTAAAAATAATAATTAGCTCAGAAGTTTTATAAATGTTGAGATTTGCGACCTGGCACAGTAGCCTAGCAGCTAAAGTCCTCGCCTTGAACATGCCAGGATCCCATATGGGCACCTGTTCTAATACTGGCAGCCCTGCTTCTCATCCAGATCCCTGCTTGTGGCCTGGGAAAGCAATGGAGACTGGCCAAAAGCCTTGGAATCCTGCACCCACATGGGAGACCCAGAAGAAGCTCCTGGCTGCTGGTTTTGGGCTGGCTCAACTCGGCTATTGCGGCCACACTTGGGGCGTGAACGATCGGATGAAAGATCTTCGTCTCTGTCTCTTCTCCTCTCTGTATATCTGCCTTTCCAGTAAAAATAAATTAAGAAAGAAAACATAAATTATGAGATTTCATAGTGAAAAAATCAGATTTGGAAGGGAGAATTGGAATTTTGCACTTGGGGGTCTGTTAGCAACCAAGTGTGTGATGTTGACTCGACCTCACAACTCCACAGGATATTCTGACCCCAGTGGCTCTTCCGTGCCTGATACCCTCCATTCTGAGTGATACAAGCAGGCCTGGTGGAAGTTTTTCGGACCCTGCCTTACATGTGTATGCAATATTACTGGTAAAATTTGTCACATATGCATGTGTAATTTTTAATGTCTAATTTAAAAATGGAATTGGCTCGGTTTTGAAACCCCAAGCCACATTCATAATGAAACACACATTTTAAGCTTTTGGTGCCATTCTAGTTATAGAACAATCAACCCATTCTGACAGATTCAGTAGACTCTTCGTTACAAGGGAAAGGGCAGAAAGACTCAATTGGGTTTCCAAATAGTTTTCACTTTTAGAAGACTATTTTTTAAAGCATGTGTTAAAAACGTAGATTTGAAATACTTTTTCTTTATTTTTGAAACCTCATGAACATTCAATCCAGATGTCTACCTAAAGTGATTTGTTTACCAATGTGGGACACACCCAATTGTCCTAGAAAAGAAAATATTTAGCTGCATTCAATAATAGATGGTTGTGTGGGTTGCCATTAAAAAAAGAGAAATACCTAGAGCAGGTGTTTGGCATAAGAGTCAAGAAGCCACTTGAGGATCCCACATCCTGTAAAGGAGTGCCTGGATTTGAGGCCCAGCTCCAGCTTTCTGCTAACACACACCCTGGGTCACAGGAGGGATGGCTCAAATTCTAGAGTCCTCCACCCATGTGGCAAATCCACATTGAGTTGTTGACTTCTGACTTTGCTGTGGCCCAGTCCCAGCTGTCTCAGGCATTTAAGGAGTGACACAACAGATGGGGGATCTCTCTCCTTGTATCTTTTTCTGTGTGCTTCCTTTTGCCAATCAGATCAATTAATAAAAACATATACGATCATACTAAAAGCCTTCATAAGAAACACCTGTATATAATGGCAAGCAATCTCTTTGCTAATTGTAAGCAAGGGGTTATATATAGAGAGAGCTTTGAGTAATTCTCAAGCATCTGTTATAGGTAAGGCACTGTTCTAGGCAGTTCCAGAATTCATATTATTTCTTATATTCTAGGGGCCCAGATGACAAACAGCAAATAAGTCAACAAGCCAGTATTTTAACATGTGCAATAAGCATTGTTAAGTACTGGGAGTAAAGAAAAAAAAATGGAGCAGGGTAAGGGTGAGGAAAAGGGCTGTGATCAGAGTGGAATACATGGGAAAGGTGAAATTTGAGGAAGACTTAAAGGAGGTAAAGGAGTTAGCCAAGAGCCAAGTGCATCTCTGAGGAATAGCCTCCCAGAACAAAGAAAGACTGGTCTGAAAGCAAACACCTCAGAGCAGGAATGTGCCTCATCTGTCCAAGAATCAGTGTGATTATTCCGAGTTGAGGAAGCTGACTATCAGAAAGAACGAGTGCATCGATACACCTGCTATTTTTCATGGAATAATATAGTCTGGTCTCCTTGGCTAAGAACTATTTATCATCTAGTTTGAATTGCTCTCTGTTGTGACTTAGCCATGGCATGGGCATTTGAGATTCAATGAAAGTCTGCAGGTTTCATTTTTTTTAAAAGAAATTTTTAAAATGCTTTGGGTTGGCTCTTCTAAGAAGGTCCTGACTCCAGGTTATTCTATAGGTATGACAAACATTCTAAATTGGCAATTTCATTGTATCCTTACACACTTCTGGTTTCATATTGCTGGTTCTTTTCAAAGAGTATGACATCAGGGAAAGGATAAGAGTTTGGATTTGTTCTCTTATATGGCATGTTAATTATTCTACATTATATGATACAGTTCAGAGGGTGTTAACAGAGCTTCATGTCTCCTCAATGCAGCTGCTTGTAGAAGACTGGCCATTTGGAGCTGAGATGTGTAAGCTGGTGCCTTTCATACAGAAGGCCTCGGTGGGCATCACCGTGCTTAGCCTGTGTGCTCTAAGCATTGACAGGTAAGAGCTCATGCCTCATCCAGATATATCCTCAATAGTATATGACTGATTGCTTCGAATTTAGAAAATAAAATATGTAATTCAATAAAATAAAGCTTTTTTAGCTTGTAAAACGTTGTTTTCATCTTTAGGTATCGAGCTGTTGCTTCTTGGAGTCGAATTAAAGGGATTGGAGTTCCCAAGTGGACAGCAGTAGAAATTGTTTTAATTTGGGTGGTTTCTGTGATTCTGGCTGTCCCTGAAGCCATAGGCTTTAAGTTGATTACACTTGACTACAAAGGAAACTATCTGAGAATCTGCATGCTTCAGCCCACTCAGAAAAGCGCCTTCATGCAGGTAAATTTTACCCTTTCTGCCCTTTCTGCTCATTCTCATAAAAATGCAGCTATGTCCCTCTTTGCCTGACTTCTGAAGAAGCTACTGATTTATGGGTGTCCTGAGGAGACAGATCCCAGGACCATGAGATAAAGGTGTGACTGATGATTCAAGCTGCAGGAAGTGAAGTTACTACTTCCCCCAGGAACCAGCTCCCTGCATCTCAGGGACACAAATAAACCAATTTCAGCCACATCATAGAATTGGTGTGAATGTATAGCTTTTCAGTCAAGAGAAACAAAAGGCCTAACTGCTACCATATTCTTCAGAAGATAACCTAGCAGGCACTAAAAAAAAAAAAAAAAAGCATGAGCAAATGTTTGGAAAGCCCCCGAATATATGTGGATTCTGAAAGGCAAGCTTACTCTCCCTTTCTGTCTTTTGCTAAAGAGAAAGCTTCCATTGCAATTAAGACATTTATTACAGAATGTTTGACCAGGAAAAGGGGAAAGAATGTAATACTGGTCTGATAAGACAGACCCCAAAGTAAAAAGCTCCAGAGAAGTTAGTGCAAACAGGTGCTGGGCTGGGCTACATATCACCAAGAATTCCTTTCTCATTCACTTATAAGAAAATTCAAGAAACTTCATGAACTGTATCTATCATGATAAGAAGCAGTGAGGAAGGACATTAACATGAAAGCCAGAAAAATTGCAGTTCCATTATTTCTTACTAGTTAAGAGGGGTGGGAGTGGAACTCACTTGTCACATAGATTTTTCTCTAATTGTGGTTTTATCAAGAGCAATAATTTTAGACATACACAAGAGCAGATATAGAATAAACAAAAAGGCCTTTTTTGTTGAAATATTTGGTAGGCTTATGCGCTAGTGAGCAAAATGGCTAGCATAGACCATTTCATATCTGTTTTTCCCATTAAGCAAATTTGCTAAAAATGTAAGTTTTTCATAAACACTAGGATGCTTTTACATATTCAGATGTGGTATTTTACACAAAGAGTACCCTAAGGATAAGTTGCTTGTGTAAAGACAAAATATTGAATTACCAAATATTTCAAGATTACACAGTTGCTTAAAACACAATTATAAAAAAAGTTTATATGAAAAGCTTATTTAAATTAGTATAGTCATTTATTTGTCAGTACATGTGGTTCATAGATTTTATGTTGTATGGTCTTTATTAAATGGTTCTCCTTCAGAAGAATGTTGTTCCTGGATGAATTTTTTTCAACGTTTGCTATGCAATATTTTCTGAAACAAAAAGTATTAATCATAAATATTCTCTCTTCTTCCTAGTTTTATAAAACAGCTAAAGATTGGTGGCTATTTAGTTTCTATTTCTGCTTACCACTGGCCATCACTGCCCTTTTTTATACTCTGATGACCTGTGAAATGTTAAGAAAGAAGAGTGGCGTGCAAATTGCTTTAAATGATCACTTAAAGCAGGTAAGACAATAAAATTATTGGATAACTTATGGTTATGATTATAATGCTGGATATGCAAATTATGCAGATGAGAAATTACAATCAGCACGTACCAGAACACATTTCCTTTTTCTTGCCCCCAGCATCATTGAATTCATAACGAATACTTTTGCATTATCTGTTTAGAGATACTCTGCATCACTAAGAGCATCTAGAGAGAATCATAATGCCCTAACAATGAATTTTTAATCATTTTAGTTCTCATTCTCATTCATTTTTCTATGTCAAGCTGAGTGTTCTGAAATTTTACAAATGCCATTGAGTTTGCATAAACAATATGAACTATTCTGTCAGGGATGAGAGGACACTGTGACCCAGTGAGCATCTTTCCAAGGTCTGACTGCCTTTTGCTTCCCCCCACGCCCCCCAGAGACGGGAAGTGGCCAAAACCGTGTTTTGCCTGGTGCTTGTGTTTGCCCTCTGCTGGTTGCCCCTCCACCTCAGCAGGATCTTAAAGCTCACTCTGTATGATGAGAACGACCCCAACCGATGCGAGCTTCTGAGGTAAGAAAGGCACACCGGAAATCATGCTGTAAATCAGGGCCATCAGAAGTGATTCCATCCATCCCTTTCATGAGCAGAAAAGCAGTAACGGAGAGAAATTCAGACTCCAAATTTTCCCCTTCTCTCCTACTTTACAGGAAGGGGTGCAGGAAACCTAAGGGAACCCTGGGAACACAGAGGCAGAATTGTAAAGGAGAAGTGAGTGGCAAAATAGAAAGATCAAGTTAGGGTCTTCTTTGCTCTGTGTAAATCCCTTCTTTTTGGCCCTCTTCAGTAATGGGATTTCATTTTCAAAGACAGATTTGGGCACCAGAGGAAGCAATCGGAAAGCAGTTCAGATCACAGTGACCAAGAATGAGCTAGAGGCCGCTGGGAGATTCCCCTTAGATATGGGTAATTTTTATTTGCAATGAATGTGTGCCCATAGCAACACTTTGCACAGACATGTTTGGGTCTATTGTTTTGTAGTTTCTTGTTGGTATTGGACTACATTGGCATCAACATGGCCTCCGTGAATTCCTGCATTAATCCAATTGCTCTCTATCTGGTGAGCAAAAGATTCAAAAACTGCTTTAAGGTAAGAGGGCAATATTCCACAATACAAGTCCTTCTGTATCATAACATCAAACGCCTTCATAACGAGAAACATTTCTATCCACAGATATCTACCAACTTGCTTTCTAGACTCCTCTTGCACTGAATAATGGGTGCTTTTCTAAAATATGACTTTCACTTATGAATCACTAATCAGTTTCTGCCTATGAATCTCCATCAGTCACTCCCAACTGCCGCAGCCAATTACATGAGCAAGAGGATTGCTCAGAAAAAGAGTAAAATTACAGGCACTGATATGACAGTTGCTACATGATAAGAGTCAAATATAAATCCATCATTCCTACATTTTGGTAGATTTTGGGCTACCCAACTACAATTTGTATTGTGAATAAGTTAGACCCTTTTTCACTTGGAGTCTGAAAAATAGCAAGTTAAACACATTTGTTTTAAGTTCTATCTCCTTTTTTAAAAATAGTAGAGACCTGCCTCATTATTTTCCATCCACCTGCTTTGGATCATAGTGCCTCTCCATGCATTCTCTGCTTCAGCAATCTAATACACAAACTTCCTGTGTGAAGAGAAAACACTGCATTGTGAAATATCTTAAATAGGATCACTTTGGTTACAAAGAGTAGGCAAAGAATAACTGAGTCTTTAAAGCCAGAAAATTTTGTTGAAATCAACTGCCTTATTTTTCAGAACCAAACTAGTAGAGCTCCCATTTTCTTATTTGCATAGTTTCTCATATAATAAATGGGATAAAATAAGATTTGGATTTTATAAGATCCAAGAGAAAATCTTGATGAACAAAATTGAGATGTTTGTACACATAATAGTTTTATTGGGTAACAATATTAGAAAGTCCTGCATAATTTTAACTGTATACCTGGAAGAGTATACAATAACGTTAAATTCATTGCTGCAAAAAGGTGTTTATGATACTTTCAAACGAGATAAAGATAATGCATTCATAGTATAATACAATTGAATATGTGATACACAAACACATGCACTGTCATAATGTGATAATATTTCTATTTGTATAAAAGCATCTTGACTGATGTACTTTTGAAATATTAAGAGCATTTATCAAGTAATCAAGAGTAAACACCAAGAGTTAAGATTTCTGTTGGTAAGGCTTATTTATTATGTAGATTTTTCTTCTCTATTTTTTTTAGTGGAAAAAAATCTATTTTCTAGTGGAAAAAATCCTATCATATAATACCTATACAATTAAATCTTTTCAAGGAGAAAAATAAGACATGGAAGAAAGGTTCTACCAACTCCTAATCATGCAATGAAATACTGAACCTCAGAAAGTAACAAGAGTTGTATTAGGGTGAATAATGCTGACATATAATGAGTTACTTTATTTTGTACAGTCATGCTTATGTTGCTGGTGCCAGTCATTTGAAGAAAAACAATCCTTGGAGGAAAAGCAGTCCTGCCTGAAGTTCAAAGCTAATGACCATGGATATGACAACTTCCGTTCCAGTAATAAATACAGCTCATCTTGAAAAAAGGATTAATGAGAACTCACTTAAACAAAATGAAACGCATCCCCCCAAAATGTATATTTGCACAAAACAATGTAGGTGGTGTAACAGTGATTATTAAAACACTCAAAGATACACATGACATGTTATGAGCTGTTCACATGAGAGGAAATGCAGTGAGAATTAAGAAAGTCTCATTGTGAAAGCACTTAATCTCTACCATGAGCACTTCAGCATAGCTCTTAATAACTTCTAGTAAATTTATTTACCACTTATATTTTAAAAGGAGCTAACTCAGATTTCCTACTAAAGCAGTTTATTTTTTTTAATCCATGTGATCTGATACAATGAAAAATGTCAGTATGATGCAGAATTTTGAAGTGGAATTTAATTTAAAGTTTCAAAAATTCTTTTAAAAGCTTCTATTGTCACATCATTGATCAGTCCGTAATTAGAAACAAAATATGAGAGTGGTTCAGTTGGTACATTTTTAGGATGTTGGAAATATTTAAACATTCAGGATAGAGTAACAGAAAGGGGTCAAGACGAAGTTCTTAAAAAAATCATTATACTCTATATTCAGAACAGATGGAATATTGTAAACAAAGACAGAGAAAGGAGGTTTAAAATGTTTTCCCAGAAGACTTCCCTGGAATTTAGCACTCACAATCTCTACAAGAAAAGCACTACCTACGATGCTTTTCAGATTTATTAAAATATTCTTTTAACAGTGTAGTGTAAACTGTTTTGTATCATCATCTGTAAATATTTAGCTGTATACGCTGCATCCAGATGGTTAAACAGTAGGCAGGCCCGATTGTTCAGTGCTCTGCAATGGAGAGATGTCAGTGACCCCAAAAAGGACAGAATGTGAATTGCCTGGTGCAATGTCCACATGGCAAATAAGCAGGTGCCTCCCCTGTGTTAAAATGGTCTCTAGCATAAGTATAACATAACTACAGTAAGACTTTTTAAAATCACACCGATTAGTTTATTGAACAGCAACCGCAAGACTTACTAACTTTGATATTATTTTTGTAAATAATTGACAAGTGTTATTGATATGGTGCTTTTCTAACATGTAGAGGCAAAACTGATTTTTGAGATCATCAGAACTTTATTGTACTTTATGAATTCTTGCCTAATTTTTAATCTGCTCAGCAAAGCATATTGGTTTAACTTGGGATGAAATGTGTCTGAAAGGATGCAAAAGAGAAACTTGAAGAAGGAAGGAACGAGGTGGGGTGAAAGGAAAGCTCTGGGGACCAATTCCCATTCTTAGCCTGACATTCATTCGTCATTACCCCGTCATTTCAATTCTAAAGGTCCTGATTCTGTTCCAGCAAAACACAGCAGAATGTTCTCGGAGTGACTTTGGGAACAAATGGGGCCCAAGAGCTTTAGCTCTGTCTTAAAATATGACAGAATTTTTACTTTTTTTTTTCTTTTAGTAAGCCAGGCCACATGTTGGAAATAATCTAGCCCTATTATTCACTGCCAGCATCTAATGTGATGATTCAGTAAACCAAACCCCCAAACATTTGACCCACAAGAAAAGATGATTGTTAATTTACATGCCATGTGGATTCCACTTGAAAATCACTCACAAACTTGAATCACAATTGCTTCCATTTTTTCAGACGCCTGTCATCAGAAAAGATGTTGCAGACTTTCAGTTTTAAACTACTGTATACCGCTAATGTTTTCACAATGTAATGTATCTTTCCTTGTTCCTACTTGAGTCTTAAATCACTTAGGTTACCATGTACTGGATTGCAACATCCTAAGGCTCCTCTCATTTGCATCCTAACATCCGTCCTTCTCCACATCTGAATAAAGCCATGGAATCACTCTGCCCAGTTTTTATGCTGCACAGAGTATATACACATGCACAGTGGCAATTAAATGGCATTCAACCACTTTTAGAAAAATGTTTAGTTCAAATATTAACACAGTAATAGAGCATAGCAAGAAACAAACATGTTTTCTTTGCATAATTAAAAACAAGGTAGGCAATAGTGCTACTGTTTAACCTTAGAACATACTGCCTGTTTTACATAGTAACAGACAAGATGATGCTAATACAATTGACGCAAATCAAAAAATTTTTAAATAAACTCTTTTCTCCATCACCTATCATTAATATAAGTGTGTAACCAAACACCTTGTAGTACCAACAGCTTGCATGTGGCCAAAGGATCACAGTTTATAGAAAATATGGGTATGTGGTAGCTATCTTTATATAAAATTGTAATATAACCATGTAAAATAATTATGTATTTTGTTTTCTCTATGATCACTTCAAGGGGCAACTACTGTAGTTGCTGATTCTTCATTATGTAAACAAAACTAATAAAAAACTTTGAATTTTTTTAAAGAAACACCAGCTTATTTTTCACTATGTAAGTATTAATGATATACTAATGAATATTTTAAAGGAAACATAAGTACTAATTGAGTGTTTGAAGCAAATATGTTCTGTTAAAGATATAATTATTAAGGAAATCTGAAAATTGTTCCATTAAAATACAAATTTCTGCTCTCTAGACTCTTTCTACGTTTCATTATTGTAAGGAAGAAGAAATACACAGACTGGTTCATTTTTCCAAGGCTGATTATACATTTGATAGATTTCAATTGTCTCATATATTTTGTTCTCTGGTTTCTCATCTTAAGAACACTTCACTGTGTAATTGTTAGTGTATTATAGGATAATACACTATTGTATCATTGTATATAGTATATACAGTAGTACTGTAAGATAGCATAGGTACATGGTTAAAATATGGCTAGGAAATTACATTTCAGAGGCTTCTTTTGAGATTTACTGCATGCAAGGTGCAATTAAGTTAATAAAAAATAGGATCCCTCCTCGATCGGAGAATGATAAACTTCATGATAAAAAAAAATTTGCAGAACATTAAAGTGTTCCATATTGATTGCTGTAGACGCTCACACATGGTCCTTTTCTTTACCCAACATCAATCATCCAGAACTAGCATGTACTCTTTGCCATTTATGTAAAACCCAGCCTAGCCTTTCAGAGCCTTCTGTCATTTACCCTTGACCTTGATGGGATTTCACCTGTGTAATCTCAGCAGAGTACTTCAATATACAGAAATTCGGAATCCCAGGAATTACGTAAGGTGTGAGAAGGAAGAATGACATAAGAAGCACTCTCTTTACACTTGCAGCAAAAAGAGTCTACTTGATCGCAAAATGAAATTGTTGAACGCTATGAAGAATAATTCCACATAATTACTATTGTAAATATAGGCAGAACACATTCAAAGCAGAAAGCATAGAATCTTAAGTTAGCCTCACAAGGGACGGTCATTAGAAAACCAGCAGATTGAGTAAGTGTCTGCAGAGAAGTGTGTACCTGTGTGTTGAGCAGAAGATGGCTTTTCTGGTAGGGACGATGATGCTGGTTAATGGAAAGGGGAGAAAAGGTGTGAGCTAGCTCAGGTGAAGGGCCGAACTTTGCATGCTAAGGAAGGATGTGAGATGCAGGGCTGTGCAGATGTCAGACACAGCAGGCCAGCTCTACAATGTTAGCCCTCTATCACGAGCCACTGTTACTCAAATATGTGAGAATCACATGCTGCAGACTCATTTTGGATTTTTTTTAAAGATTCTTTGGCCACAACTCTGAACTGTATGATCAGAACCTCTGGGATGGAACACAGAAGTATTTCCCCATACTTCTTTTTTGCTCGCCTAAAAAGAGAAAAGTCCTTGTAGATAATCGCAAAGAACTGGAAATTTTAAATTAACAGGATTGCTTTTGCTGGTATAAGATTGCTTTGAAAGCCGTGTGGAACATGAAGTAAAGGACTACAAGATTGAAAGCACAAAGACTGGTTATAGAGTTTCTATAACTGTCAGGCTAAAATGCAACAACCTAAGGAAAGAACATGTGTGAGGACGTGGGATCAAGGCAAGGAAGGATAGTCATGGCAGTGTACTAACCAGATAGATGCAGGGAGCAAAGCTCTATTAAGAGATTTTTGCCTGGAACAGACATTAACCCCTAAATCAAAGGTCATCAAATTATGGCCATTGTCCCAATTCAACCTACTGGTCTGTTTCTCTAAATAAAGTTTTGTTGGAATACAGCTGTACTTCTTGTATATATGTTCTGCTTGTATTTCACTATCCACCAGCTTAATTGCTGAGCAGACAGAAGGGGCCCACAAACCCTGAAGCACACAGTGTCCAGTCTGTACAGAAGCATTTTTGCTGAGCAATGTCTTAGACAAGCAATATTGGAGGAAAAGAGAGGCAGCAATTGACTAGCAGAAAAAAATGGACTTCTGAGGATGTAGTAAATTCCGTTGGGGAGATAAAGTCTTAAGGTAAGATGAGGTACTCACGGGCAGAGACATCACTAGGCTCAAGCATTGTTTATTGTTAGAAACATTAATTAAGCAAAAGAGTGGGGACATGCTTAAGAAGAAGTTATGAAGAGCATGTGAGGAAGAGGAAAGAGGAAATGGAGCATTAAATAGTAGGGACCACAATTACAAGAAAGACAGAAAAGGGAAATTCAGAAGTCACTGCGAGGAATAAGGAAGACAGGTGTCAGGAAAATCCCAGGGAAGAGAACCAAGAAACAAAGGAAACTATAAAAGAACAAATGAATGAGCTTGAAATTGGCGATATGAGCAACCTTAATTTGTGCACATGAATGTGGGCTTTGTGTGTGGCACAACATCCTCATCTCTCAGTCATTCGTATTGTCAGCTTGGTAGTACACACACTTCTGTAAGGCCACTGGACTGAACACTTTTTTTTCCCCCTCACTCTCTTCAAAATCACCACTAAAATGAAAGGTAAAACAAAAAAGTAGTAACTCACAACAACCAAGGTGAATGCAAAGACGGGAACCAACTAGAAACGCTAACAAAATTGTACAAGGTGAAAACCAGACAGAATAGGGATAACTTTCTGAGTGTTCTATTTTCTCTAAGAAATGTTTGTGCCAGGGAGGTACGTTGAAATGTTCCACAAATCAGAAGATACTCAGCAGTTAGAAACAACAGATATCCTTGTAGACAAAAGACTGACATGATATAGAAATATTAATGAATAGTTTAATAGATATTCCCATCTCTCCCTGAAAGATTGGTGACTGGTAGTCTATTTTCAGAATCACAGCAAGAACAGCAGAAGGTAGAAATGAAGCTCCTTAATAGAATCCAGGATTAAGCAGCCAAAGCAAAATAAATCAATACAGACACCTGAAGATATCAACATTGAGAGGGAGGGAAAATCTCAGCCGAATGGTTTAGGTGCCCGCTGAATTCTGTCCTCATATTTTGAATTCTCAAGTTGCCACTTAGTGCTGGTTTCAAAATATCAATGTGTAAGCAAAGACCAGTAAAGTTTTAATAAACTGTGATGTAGAAAAACCTGAAATAAATAGGAAAAAAAAACCACAGGGAATTTACTGAGGAAACAAGAATAATTCAAGGGTGTCCAAAGGGGAAAAAAATAGAATTATAATTAATTCTCCTATATCAATAAGAAACAAAAATCAAAGTCATGATTTTTTTTAAGATTTATTTATTTTTATTGGAAAGTCAGATATATATAGAGGAGGGACAGGAGGAAGATCTTCAGTCCAATGGTCCACTCCCCAAGCAGCAGCAACGACTGGAGCTGAGCCAATCCAAAGCCAGGAGCCAGGAGCCAGGAGCTCTTCCAGGTCTCCCACTTGGGTGCAGGGTTCTAAGGCTTTGAGCCATCCTCAACTGCTTTCCCAGCCCACAAGCAGAAGCTGGACGGGAAGCGGGGTTGCCAGGATTAGAACCAGGGCCCATATGTGATCTCAGTGTGTTCAAGGTGAGGACTTTTAGCCACTAGGCCACAGCACCAGGCCCAAAGCCATGATGTTATGTGAACAAACAGACATCCAGAAACCAAGAAAGCATTCTTGGAACCTGGAAATACACCAGAATAGATAAAATTTAAAAACAATGAAAAGTTTCAAAGGTCAATAGTGCAGAAAAATAGAATGAGAAGTTACTCTTCCAATGTGAGCGTCAGTAGAACTGAAGAAGGAAATAAAGGAATCCAGGAAACAGGTGAATCCAACACAGGAAAGACTCAAAAACTGTTTCCAAGATGACAGAATGGGAACACATCCCACTCCCTGTAATGAGTCTGACTATGGGCAGAAGAACAGAGAAAGAGTATCTGCAAGACTCAAATGGAATCGCATTGTTGCCTGTCATTTCTGACCATTTTTTACACACCTGTAGCTATATGTAGGCATCTGACAAGGGCACAAAGAAGCAGTCATACAAGAGGTATTCTGAGAGTTGTGAATCCCTCCCACCCATTCTTTCTTGATTAAGGATACATGTCATAGAACAAAAACACAGATATGTGTCACAGGCATATCCAAATCTTTGTGAAAATCAATACTGAAATTATTTTAAACAAATGT